CTCTCCCTCCCCCTCTGCCTCCCCCTCTCTCTCCCCCTCTGTCTCCCCAGGCCTCGGGCCGGCCGCAGCTCCCCCGCCCAACAAGCTGAGGCTCAAATCGTGGAGTGTTGATAAATCTATGGGATGTAAGGTGACGTCGGCTAGGATGCTGCTGTCACCCTCCCCTGCCCCACACTCAATTATTGATCTCTCCAACACTTCGCCTGCCGCTGCATTGAGCTCCCCCTCCCGCCCACACTCCTCCCTTACACCCTGGGCACCCGCCTGGGCACCCGCCTGGGCAGCTGCCTGGGGCCCCGGCTGGGGACCCGGCTCCCTGTCCCGCCCTGCCCCGCCCCGCCCTGCCGCACCGGCCGTGTCTACACTGCTAGAAGCGCACTCCGTATCCGAGGCACTGCCATCCCAAGAGCCGTCTATTACTAGGGCTTCAGCCACATATACGTTTTCAAGCGTGTCTTCTCCCAACGGTTGCCATAAACCCTCCATGATTCACAAAATTAATTTGATGCCTGTGTGCGTGTGTGTGTGTGTGTGTGTGTGTGTGCATACACAATAGCTGTAACATACGTACACTGTCAGGACAAGGACCAAAACAAATAGAACGCAAAGCTCACATTTAAGGCATATTTATTATCATTAATTACAAATGGTAAACGTGAATATTTATCGGACAATTCCAAAATATTTCGTGAAGTATTTCTCTAATTGTCTCCCACTTTTGTTGATCTAACCCTGTCGCCAATGCGGGACAAGCCACATCGTTAACATTATATTGAAAGCATAAATCCCGCAACACAAGCAGAGACTGTCGGATAGCCCACAATGTAGGAAGATCCGCATGGTGCTTCTTTGTTACTAGGTTGAATATTTCACGGCCATCCTGGAACCCGACAGCCACGCCACCCACACGTACGCGTTGGCGTCTTAAATCGTCAAAGTCCTGTTTGCGAAGCAACGTCGCAAAGCCTTTACCCAAACGAAGATTTTGGGACACGCAGTGAGCGACCGCTGTCCCAGGCGGTGAGCAGGCAAAGAGATCACCAAAATGTTCAAAAACTCCCATGGCAGCTACAGAAAAACAAAAACACCCAAATGTGAGCTTTGTTTCTATTTACTTTTAACAAGAACAAAATGCACGGAACATGGTATCAGCTCTGCCTCTCTCTCTCTCTCTCTCTCTTCCGCTGTGCGACCCACTCCGCCCCGCCCAGCAGGTAGCCCCCCAAACACGGCACGCGCCCCGCACACAAACACACACTGAGAGAGGGAGATCCGAGCAGATCATTATTCCGTACACTTTGAGAAAGGAAAAACAGACTCACCTTTGTTTTTGTCAAGCGTTGCACTGAGACTCGAACGATGACGCCAACTTTCACAATAATTTGCACAGCACCGAGATGTTGGCTTGATTGAAGCACTGCTGAAGCACTGGTGATGCGCTGGTGATGCACTGGTGATGCACTGGTACTGCACTAGTGTAGCACTTGAACTTGCACTCGGGCCAAGCGACACTTAGACGCGCGCGCACGCGGAAGAGACTCGGAGCGACAGAGCGACACAAACGAGCTGCTCAGCTTCTGGAGCCAAAGTGATGCACTCCAAAAATCACGCGGAGCTGGCTAGTCGAAGGGACTACTTTTCTGCACCCCCACTGCACTTGGCGGAGGACCTAGGGCACTACGACCCTTCTTCTCATTGGCCGACTAAAAAGGCGCCAAACGCACTTATGAGGAGGGGAGGCCCCGCCCCCGCCCCCTACTCGGGGCGACACTTGTCACCAGCTTTCCTCCGATACTGTACCGAACCCAAACAATAGGGGCAGGTAGGCCGGGACGCCAAGCCACACCTGACCCCGCACGCCCCCGCCTCCGCACCGGCGGGGGTCCACACCACCTGCACACCTGCCCTAGCCTCCGGACCCAGACAATCATACAAAGAAACAATCCTGCCTTTTCCCAAAAGATAGGGACCGGCACACCTGCAGACCATCCAGAACATTCGGTTGACATGACAATGCACTTATAGGCAGAATAGCCCGTGAGATCAGGCCGTCCAGCTCCCCCAGCACGCAAATAACATGCCTGATTTACCCAAAAGATATGGGCAAACAGACGGGACAAGCCACACCTGCGACCATCCAGAACATTCTGCACTCAATCCCGTGAGAACACCCCGCCTCACCGCGTCGGCCCAGGGAGCGCCTCCATCCAGAACATTCTGTTGACATGACCAGGAGAGAGAGAGACGCCGCTCTGCCCCCATCCCAGAGCCCCTGCGAGGTAGGCAATTCTGTTGGCGAAAGGCACCCCCTTCACTCCGTCACGCCGGGGCCAAAAGGCCACGCCGCGTCGGCCCAGGGCGCGCCCAAGAGAGAGAGAGAGAGAGAGAGAGAGAGAGAAAAGAGAGAGTGAGAGAGAGAGAGAGAGAGA